TATATATATATATATATATATATATATATTGCCTCAGTGACCAACTGGTTCGTTTCCTCTTATGGTGATCCTTTATGTTTCCAAACCTTGTTCCCTCTCCATTTCAGACTCTTTGTTATCAGATCTGCGGTTGACGTTCGACAGAGCCGAGTCATCCCTTCGAAAGCGTGAGTCGCCACTTCGTCTGCGTTCAAATAGGCCGAAAATAATCAGGGTTTTTTATAATGTCATATTGCTTTTTGTTATGGACTGTTGGTCACTTTTGCTGTAGTCAAGCCCATCTCTTATGTTGCTTGCCTTTTAGTGCCATATGTCTGAAGCACAGCCTGCGGGCATCCCTCTGAACAGAAAATTTGAGATCTAACTGTACTGTACTGCGTCATGTGTCTCACCATTAAAGTAACATATTTCTACATATAGTCAAACGGTGCTTGAACCGACCTGCATCTGTAGAAATCTTAACTTAAAATGTCACAGTATACATGTCGCATTTTGTCATGTGTGCTCACATTGCCGAACACGTCGCACTGAATACTGTTGAATCTAGTCTCTTATATAACCCACTCGTCAACTTCGGGTGGCTGAGCACTTAATGTAGACCTTTTCAGTCCCTCAGTTTCGTATTGTACCGCCACAAAGTGCGCTCATGGTGTTCATGTAAGATATTAATTACCCTGGTTAGGACTTCATTGAGCTGATGTGTCAGGCGAATCCAGAAGTGGCTGTTGGTTTCTTAATTCTTTGCTTCTCAGTGCATAAATAAGGTTCTCCCGTAACGACTAACCTGAGTTGAACTTACTAAGCTGAGAACACAGTCATTTTTGTGTCGCCTTACCTTCTCGCCGTATTTCCACTTCCCTCAGACTGGTTCCTGGAACTTGCGAAATATTCCCAACCAAGGTTAACCATGGTTACGCTATTTAGTCGATTGGCTAAGCTAAGCGGTTTAGAGGTAGACTTCAGAAACAGGTGATGTCCGGACATCGTAACCCAACAGAATGCTTAGCTTATTTGTCATATAAGTTGCCTGAGTTAAGAGAAGCCGCGGAGGGAACACCTTAACATTTTGTTTTCAGGTACTCACAGTCACTACAGAAATTTCTTAATCAGCCATCCTGCCGAGCAGTTAGGCTTTGCATTCGCGGTCATATTTGAGTAGTCACATTTCACAAATGTAATTGATACTCCACATGCCTAGTAACAGTTAAGTCCACTATAATTTACACGAATCGACCGCGTGGTTGACCATCTTCGTCGATCTTCCTGTTATGCAGGTGCACATTTGGGAAAGGATAGATTCGATGGTGAACAAGAGGTTAACAGTAGCCACAGATAGTGTCTGTTTACCGAGGTGACATGAAATTACCGCCGCCCAACAACAACATTTGGCAGGAAGATACATATTTTTAACGGTGTTTGATGTGCAAAATGGAGAAGCCCAGCTGTCGAAAACCGGGTTTTGGGTTTCCTGGCCTGATTACAATCCTGAGAGAGAGAGAGGTGTAGATTGCCAACGGCGTTTTAGCCAACCATCCGTTTGATGCACCAAGTGTTTCGGAAGGTAGTCTGCCCGAAGGAGCTAGTTGTCTTTCAGTATCCGTCAGGCACATGTGTTCTACCCTTGTTTTATTTAGAATATTGTCTTACGGACATCCTCAAAGTAGCTTTGAGCTGCCTGAGGGGTTTTCAATACAGACGCTTATTTTTCACCCCAATATGTCATTTGACAATTAAAAAAGTAATCAACTTCGTTTTAGAGGCTGTTTACAGATGCTGAGTAAACTTATTTGAAGGTTTCTGCCTATAGCGAAAAAGTTTGCTTTTTTACCTTCATCTCTGATCTAGCCAGCGTAGTATCGTGACCGTTAATACCAAGAACAAACTGCATCTCCGTTGGATCATTGCTTAGCGCAGCGGTACCGTCGGTCGGTCGGGGGTTGCTCGACTCACTTGCAGTCACTGTCGTCGCTTAGAACGTGCACCGTTGTCCAGTCCAATGCGAAACTGAAAACCATAGTTTCAATTAGCCACCCATATAGTATGTGAGAGTCTGAAGTAATATCCACTAGATTCCACCGTGGGATCTTGTGCTCCGGTTATAGGTCTTGATGTGACCCAGCATCCTATCATGAATATAATCGACATCAAAATCGATCGAAGATTGTCGTGCTTAACTGGGTCAACTGCTGTACGGAACTCATTAAAGCGAGCGCAGACTGTGTACTGTAACTGCGGTGTTCCAAAATGCATAATGTAAACGTTTGGGTGAAGCAACCTCATCTGGGACGATATCTTCACTGGTAGAATGAGCGAGTCTACTGCTGCTCTCCACTGCTTCAACTGCGGCATGATCTGAGTGTCAGTTGGAACCCTAGAAGGACTTGACCTATTTGTGTGCCTTGTCTTACTTTCACCATTTCTTTTTTCAGATTTTCGTCACCAAGCGGACCCAGACGGTATTCTAGTTCAGTACCAGTCATTTGTCGAGGTTAGTGTTGCCATCTCATCATTCGTAGATAATTTAATTTTTTTTCGTCGCATGATTTTTATACCCTCAAAACCCCTGCATTTGATCTATGAGTGGTTTTTCGTCCTCGGTCCTACAATGGTCACTTCAATATTTTTTGTCGAACGAACTGATGACGATAGTCTCAGTAATCAGGAGTTTACGTTTTTTTGGTATTTGATACACGGGTTAAAATGCTATGTCGCGAAGTCTGGCGAAGATCTTGAGCTTTTCAAGGTCACACACACGGTGACCAACAGCTCGCCATATTTGTGGACAGAGAATGCGTAAACTTGTTCACCAAATTTTCCTCTTCTGGAAACTATCGCTTACTTACACGCACACACCAAAGTTGTAAGTGTTGCATTATGCGTACTAATAAATGGGCTGAAGCAAGGACGTTTACGGTGCATCCTATAGAGCTGAGACTGCGGAACCAGAGGCTCACAGAACATATATCAGAATTCTTTAGGTACCGCAGATGTCTTGTCGATATATCTTGTATCGTCGACCAACAGTACAATTTAGACGGGGGCTTGAATCAGAAGAAGCTTCAACGTCCTCGCCTCAGTGTTCGCGTCTGTCATAGGTCTCTTTTACATATGTACTGCTTAAGACCAGGTTTCCATGCAGTCAATCGCTTTGCTGAATTTCTTCATCATTGCAAGGTTGTCCGCTGTGCTCTTCAGCGGACAGCTGGTCATACGTTGTGCGGACTGCCACAACGTATTAGCTTAGCAATATTTGAATTGCGTGTCCTTTTCTGATAGTTATCCCAAATTTACCAGACCTTCGTTGGGAAGATGTGATCATATTCTGAAAAATCCCCTAGGCGACCAACTTCTGGCGAGAGAATCCTGAATGTTCCGTCGTTATCGTACAACCAACTCTCATCCATGACAAATATGAGACCATCGATACCAAATTTCCGAAAAAAAAACCTTGCTTAAGCATTTTACTGTACCTCTCTCTACACCCTTCAAGGCCAAATATGCTAAGAACACTAGCGCTGCGCGTGCGCTTTGGTCCCAATTCATGCAACAACCTGGACATGGTGCTCAGGGACAGTTTTGGCTCGCCTACTTACGATTCGAACGGTACGTTAACAATCAGGTTCGTTTATTGGGTGGTACCAGCGGTCCGTTTGGAATCTCATGAACTCATGACAATTTGCTCTTGTATGCCAAAAGAAGAGTGATTTTCTGTATCCCTTTGCAGTATTCGGCAACCGATATCCGCCTTCTAAATTTTCTCACCTTGAGGTACGGCCTCCAGATGCGTTAAGTGGGTTTTTACTTCGTTACTGAAGTTATGTACATTGAAGCAATATACACGCCTGGGGACTACTTCGATAAGATGCAGTCGCTGTAGAGCATCGCAAGCTGTTCCCTCAACTAAATCGCACGTTTGACCACAGCTATCACGTTTTCTTGTCATTTCAGTGACTGGGGTGATGCAAAACACTTTTATCGTATTTCCCGTATGGCTATCAACTCAATCAACCCGGATCCTGAAGACAACGTATTCTCACATATACTGCGCTTTAGTTGCGAGGCTGGTCTACCAATTGCACAATACCTTGAACTGGAGGCGCGTGTGCGATCACGTACTGGAGACCTAGGACTTAATATTCATCCAACCGCAAGCGTTCGTACCAAGAAAACACACATCTCTGAACCGGTATGTTTCACCTAGTCCGGACGCAGCCTTGAATTCACCTTCCAATTTGCCAAGAATTCTCCAGGTCTCTGAAGAGTGCTTTTGACATTCTTATCCAATGTTATTATTAAGAGACCAACCTTCGGTAATCCTCTGTTACCCTACATAAAATCGTTCAGCTATAGCACCCTTCCAGTGCCTAACTGCCATGCTACCCCAAGGAAACACGAGGGCTGGGATACTGCCAGGTTGCCCAAGCTTAGACAGGAGAAGTCGAGAGGCAGAGGTCGGGTTCGAACCACGGACCTTCCGGTCAGTAAATCCGCGCTCTAACCACTTGGGCCATCTCGCCCCCTACCCTACATATGATTTATTCCTATGTTGTGCCACCTATTGAAAATAGGAAAATTAGCGGCAGAACAGGAATGGAAACCAAGGAATGTCAAAATTCGTGATATCCTCTAAGCTTGTAGCGCCATTTTTGTTTCCCTGGCCCCGGTCAAAGGTTGTTTCACAATGGTTTAAGATTGTCTCTTTGGCTTATTTTCTCTCTTCTGATAAATGTACCTTGCGATTTCGTTATTTACAGGAAGTCAGAGGTGATTCGCTGTGGTTCTTTCATTCGATCAACTTACGCAGTTTTCTATCCATCACAGAAAGCAACGGGCTCAAACAGCCTTATTTTGCTTTTAAATACTTCGGGATTGACTGTCATCATCACCATCAGCGCAGACATCCATACATCGACAGTGAAAACTAGTGTCTAATTTCCATGCAACTATGAAGCAGGAAAGTCTCAGCGAAAGGTGAACAGAAAAGGAGAGAGTGGGAACTTGAAAAATTCTTGCATGTCTATGGAAAACAGCTCAGAGTCCTGCACCTCCCAAAACCATTAACTATGTCCAAGCATAGTGTTGGATGAAGACATCAGCGCATTTGACCGGGTATCGTTTACGAATATCACCCATCACGAACTGATCATAACAACAGACAACCGTTAGCTAGTCGGTCTTGTTGAGAAGTGACTGCAAACTTGCCTCTGCGACCGGTTACGCGTCAACTACTTTGGGGTTTCCGACTACTCTTGGACGGGAATCATGTGGACCCCACCGAGAAACGTCCGGAGGTTCCGAGGGTGTATTGTAACGCGTCGCTGCTCTGTTCAACTGAGGTCTCTGGTATCCTTCAGCTTCACGTGCTTTCAATAATAGTTGAGTAAGCAACCATGGCGGAGTATTTGTGGTGCTCCTTATTTAGGACATCAGCCCATCGAGTGTGACGGCATCCCGTTCCCCGCACACGAGGAAGCACCACAAACCCCGGTTTAGCAAGCTGCTTGTTCATCTGTATAGCTCATTAGAGCTGGATCTCAGATACCTTTTGTGTTTTACTCCGTGTTTCTCGACCTGTCAGCTGTTTCAGCAAGTGCATGAAGTCCCTTTGTGAGAGAACACCCATGAGGCCAACCTAACTCATTCTCGTGTGCGGCTGTTTATCTACAAAAGGCATGTGTTCCTGTCTGAGATATTTGCAGTTTTAAATCAGCTCAACTTTATCAGCACCGATGGGGCGCATTCTTTCGTGATATCTCGAGTTTAGTTTGACGCGTGGGTGGAAATGGCATTATCCCAGTACCGACTATGTTGTGCTCTTACAAGAACATAGCATCCGATCTACCTTCAACGCTTAGGTGTGTTTGGCCTTGAATGCTCCCAATTTATCCCCGCAACAAGCAAAAGTGTACATTTTACTTAGAATCAACTTTAAATTCTCGGTTCGGGACTGTTGCTGATTGGTGTTCACTGCCCCCCCCCCCGAATGTTTTCGCATGTAAATAAAAAACAACTTGAACACAGGAATGTAAATGGAGTATACTTTGACATCCAAGTGCAAATTACGAGCTACAACATATTTGTCTTTATTAGACTTAATGCATGTCCGTAATTTCACGTTTTTGTAGACTGTCAGCAAAAATACTTCTACCAGGAAACGACCTCCAGCGACGGATTCCGGCCCGAAAGCGGCAAAGGTAAGTCATGTTTTGCAGAGACCTCGCAGCTAGACTTTGTCCCTCGTTTAGCTATAACGCCATTTCGGAGCCTAGTTGTCAGGTCACCCAAAGGAAACATTGGGACTAAGGTACTGCCAGGTTGTCCAAACCTAGATAAAAGCAGTCAAGATGCCGGTGTTGGGTTCAAATCATGAGCCTTCCGGTCAGTAGGTTCGCTCCTTATCAGGCTGGACAGAGCATGTTCATCTGTCCTTGTAGATGGTTTACTGCGGCAGGTGTTTGAGCAATGATGCAGTCGGTAATTCTATATGAACTTGGTGTATTCAGCCGAACTGCCAGCAAGAATTTCACCTATTGCTTTTACTTAATGTGCAGTATCCCCGATTTACGGAACCTTTTTTAAATCCCAGAAACCGAAATCCTCGACTAAAGAAGCCGAAATCGCTGAGCCACCATTCAGAAAACAGATAGCCGTTGGTTCTCCTAAGCCCCATGGTGAACATGTTGTTCATGATCCCTCTCGAGACGACCGTACTGTATTTGTAAGCAACTTGGATTATTCCACCACGGAAGACGATCTGCGTCGTACTTTCGAAGAGGTGAGTCCTCCTTTGCCCTTTTCATAAGCCGACAATGTTTAGTGTGCTCAGTTCATCTGATATATATTCTTTTCAACAGAGACGCGAATGCGTATGCTCCCGGCCTGCGCTGATCGACAGTCATAGGTAAAACAACTGGTGTACCTCATATTGAAAATGGTGCCAGATTTTATCTGGGTAGCTAGAGCGTGTCGGTCACCTAAAACGCTGCCACATTCTATCATTAGTAGCCCACTACTTCACGAGGGTGACGGATTTTCCTGGTGAGGCATTCACCATTGACTGGCTCGTATTCGTAGCAGTACGCAACCCTTTTCTCCACTTTGCCTCCTATTTTGGTAGACTACTGCTGTCGTTCTCTCCTTGCCTCACGTTTCAGTCGTCAGCCTTGCTAACCAATCAGTCCCCTTTATAAAACCGTAGTGTTTACAGTCACAATTTAGTTTCACGTTTTTCTGCCAAACGTACCTATCACTTGGGGGAAAATATTGCGTCCACCACAGTGAAACGTCGAGCTGGGTTGTGCCGAGTGCGTACAATTCTTGGTCGGTGGTGAACGCGTCCCGACCCTCAGACGTTTATTAGTTTGACTATGCGGTTGATGAACAGAAGTTGCATTTGAAACGTGGCGTTTACCCACTGGTTAGATTATTTCAAGCTGGGCTGTTTTGTACGACCGCTTGGAAATATCATTCTCAACTATATTTTGCAGTGTGGCAAACTGTCATCCGTACGGCTGGTTCGTGATTATGCTGGCCGTTCCAAAGGTTACGCATACGTGGAATTCGAACAGGCCAGCACTGCAGATTTTGCTCTGAAAAAGGACCGGCAACCTATCGGGCATCCTGCTACCTCCGAAGCTACATCGAGCACGGACGATACCGTGACCATCGCCAGACCTATGTTTGTCTCACGCTGCGACCCAACTCGCTCGAAATCATCGGGCTTTCAGTATTCGGCGGGTAAGCCGGAACCGGAGAAGCTATTCGTGCGAAATCTCGACAAACGCGTAACGGCCCATGCGCTTGAACAATTATTCGGCGAGGTAAGTAACTCTAGCGGTTAGGAACAAATACCTTGAAATCAACAAGAGTGGTTCGGATTCGTATGGCTCATTAATCTGTGAACAAGTTGTAGCCATTGAGATGCCAGTTACTATGTTCACTTGAAAATTAATGTATCCCAGTAGACCGGCTGCTTTGGCAACAAAACCTTACGAGGATGTGGCGTATACCAGATATATCTAGGCCATTCAGGTTTGTTATTCGTGAACTCCAACTCCATCCTACCTATATAACGGATTCCACAGAATCGACCATAGATGTTATTCGAACTCACGTAGAACCAAAGTTGGTAAGTACGTTAGTAAGGACGGGCAGTGGATGCATACAACAAGACTGGCAAACAACAGTTAGGGCAAAAGGGATACCGCGAATTACGACTTGCTTTGCTCCGGACCTATGCTTTAAGAAATAAACTTCCACACACAACGTACTCCCGGACATTGCTTAATGAATGGGTCATTGTGCAGCTTTAGTTTTTATCGCGATAATGGACGTCGTTGTGGTAAACAAAAAATCTATTAATTCGGACTTCAGTTCTCACGGACTTAGGAGTCGATACCGTTATGGGTCCTAGTCTGTGTTTGCTGCTGGCCGCCTCAGAAAAGTGGTGAGACCTGGTCACCTTGCCTTGTTCCCATTAATCCCGCTATTTCAATCCATCCGGTATTCCTCAATACATCAGACGAAATTATCGCATGATCTCACTTTAGTTTCAGGCTCGGATAGCTTGCTGAGGGTGCGGTGGGAACTACCACTGTTGTTCGTAAGACTGTTTTTAGTTTCAGGCTCGGATAGCTTGCTGAGGCTGCGATGGGAACTATCACTGTTGTTCGTAAGACTGTTTTTCCCACTGTAACACGCACCAACAATTACGTCAGTTGATACTTACTCGCAAGATCTTCTTTCTTACCTGAGCAACCGAATTTACATGAAATGTAAATGTAATGTTCCCCCAACAAACACTTCTTTTTGCCCAAACTTCCAATCATCTTCATACCGATCCAAAGGTACTGTGCAGTGGCTAAACCATAGTCTTTATCTCCTGTGCAGCACGGTACTGTGGTCAGCGTCCGAATTGCAACCTATCGTAATGGCGCACCTAAAGGGCACGCCTATGTGGAATTTGCAAATGCGGACCAAGCCAGTCGTGCCCTGGTTGCTACCGACGGTCTTTTGGTCGGTTCGAAGAATATTGCCGTTGCCATTAGCAACCCCCCTGTACGTAATCCCACGGGTCCCGCTACCACAAAACAATCAAACCAACCGACTAAACCGAAAGCTCCCTCGGAACACATTCCACATGAACAGAAACCGTGAGTTTTATGTGAAATTTTTACTGGGTTCTCCTGCACCTAGCGTGTTCGTGCACAAGAGTTTCGGGAATCACGTGCGTGGATGTAATTGTGCTAAACAGGCCAATATGGGTGAATGTACGCTACATGTCATAGTATAGTATTATACTATATCCCTTCACCGAACTGTTTATTTTATTTTGTTGTACCGTAATGTTACATGGTATTGTTTATTGTTCTGTTCTGTGAAGGCCTTACGGATGGGATGTGAAATCACCTTTCGCACAAAGTTTCGCGCATTCATTGTGACAATCATCTGAGCCCTCGCGTTTTTAAAACATGAATGCATCGTGTACTACAAATCTTGGTGTTTTGAACCTCTGATATATAAGGCGCATTTTGAATGTCTGATGGCTGGACGAAGTATCCAACTCGCAGGATAGAGAACCTTTCTCCAGAGCGAAGCTACTGCAACAGCTACGGTCTAGATCACGTTAATCAAAAACTGAAAACGAGCTTTGCAAACCTGCACTGGCTTTCCCATTTCAATGATGGAGCTACCCCTCTGGAAGGAAGCTAGAAACCTGGGTCGGAATCTTTGAGTCAGCTTAGGGGGCTCGATTTCAAATTGTCATACGATATCCATTGCTTGAACCCGGATTAACTGCAATTCGTGCGGACCTAGTCTCTAGCCTACGTTTGTGGGCAACGACAGTACGGGACATCTGTGAAGCCGACTCATCCTGTCACAGGGATCAGTCGCCGAAACGTTGTGAAATCGGTCCCTGGGTGATCCCTTTCGCACGCTTCTTCGTTTCGGATTCAAATCCTCCAGGTTGTTCGGTTATCACGGGCGCGGTTGATGTAGTCCCTTGTCACACTTTCTCATTGTTGGTAATGGGAATCGGGTAAAAAGTCTTCACCCTCTAGCTTGGTTTGTTTATCGCCTGCTAGGTGAGCGTGCACTATGCAAACTGAACATTTTCTGTTATCCATCCTTTTTTCACTAGACGCTCGCATGGCCGGACGCAGCTTGCGTTTCTTCCACGGGCGCTTAACCGAGGTACAACTTCAAGTTCTGGAAATTCGGATGCCGTGGAATCAGCCCCTGCGTCTGGTGACGCTATGAAGAGTAACCAGGACTTCCGCAAAATGTTTCTGTCTTGATGCTGCCATACTTCACCTCCGCTCTATCCCCCCTTTTAAACTGAAACTGCATTTCCAACACAACCTGATGGTGTCCCTACTGTCTGTCTCCAAAAACGGCAAATGTATTTTTCATCATTTTCTCACTGGTCTTATCTAAGCTGGTTATGGAGGTTAGTAAATTCGTCGTTCTAAATGATTAAAACACCTTGGGTTAATATCGCCAGCAGCAGAGGCAATACGCCTGCATCGATATGCTGAGTTGCGTCCTCAAAAGATCACTTGCCCAGCATGTTGGCTGAATAGGGCCCATTATTTGACCAAAGTGGTCTAACATCAACAGCCAGTGACATTGGTCATGGTGAACTTTGCGAACACACAGTAAGGGGCCTTTTACATAAAGCTTGGGATAAGTGCAGATAGCCCCCATTCATTCCGTCGCAAATGTATCTTTCGCACATCAGTTCCTCTTAATCGACTTATCGCAAGCAATTTGTCTCAGTCAGCTCACCGCACACAGCAAGAAACATTAGTTCTGATGTTTGTCGCCAAAATGTACACAAGAAAATACAACACAATGCACTTGTTATGCGGAAGCAACTTAAGCGCTAACCCGGGGAGGGGCGACTGAATACTGTCCAAGGCCAAAACCGCTACTGAATAAACATTTTTTGCATACTGTTACTCCTCACCTGTTCTGCCCAATGGAGTTGTTGGTGAATGAGTTTAGATTGCCAAAGAGCTGGTGTAATGTGATATTTCGACAAACTAATGTGAAAGTGAACTACTGGAACATGATCGATGGGGTACTGTAACTCCGTCATGATACTTCATGTACAACACACCTAAAAGGTGACTGCCACATCTAAGGATCAATTCATCCGGAGGGTTTTACCTCCAGTCTGCTAGCCTTTGAGAAAACACCTCAAGTTTCCGACAAAGATCAATAAATTTTCTAAGAAAAGTACTCTCAACATAGCGGGATGCGAAATTCGTGCATTGGGTTTATACGTATCCTACGCCAATCGCATGGTGGTGGCGCATGCGATTTCATATTGAAACGAAATTCGGAGCAAATGTAATTCGCCCGTATGTCTTCGACCAGTAGCTGACTGCACATCATCACCATAACCCTTATGTATAAACACCCATTCACGTACTACACAAGCGAATAGATAATGTAGACAGCTGAGTAGGTCTACATCTTCAAATACCTCAGCGGCACTTTCACATTGTCTAAGATAAATTTAGCTCGAGGATTTAGCAGAAAAATGTGAGGGCCACTTACTCATCAAACGCAATCATTCGGAAGTTATAAGAAACTAGGCATTCCATTTTGCATGGGTGAGAGTGAACGATCCTATTTACACTCCCATACAACGACTTGGAAATAGACTACAGCAAGACTACAAGTTAGATCAACATGTGCCAAACAGTACAGTAGTCGCATGTTAACAATGAAATATACAGTGGTCGTACATGGAAGTGTCCGACGTCAATGCGAAACGCCGGGAGAAAGGTAGAAAGAAACGGGCGAGTTCTTTGTACAAACTGAAGCGTGAGTTAGGCTCCGATGTGGCTGCGCTCGTAATGGAATAGTCTACCATGAATAATGCGAAGATTCCACTTACGTAGGGTGCATAAAGAAAGACCTGACGAATGCGAACGGCTAGCGCCGTACCAGGATGGTTTGCTTAGGATGTATAGTTTCTCCGCCTGGCTCAATCGGTAGGTGGGACAAACAACAGGAAAGACGGAAAACAGCTTGCTTCTGAAATAGTAAATGCACATATCAACCACTAAATAGTCTCAGATGGCTGTCGTAACCTATAATGAACAAAGAAAAACACTACCAATGCCGATCAGGGATGATCCGTTCGCCTTAAACCACCCTGCGCTCCAAGTAACCTGCGATCTTGTAGAAAAGGAAACGAAAAAATGAACTAAGGTCTGTGCTCAAGGAAGGCGCACCAGTCCACGGGGAAACTCGAAGAAGCAGAGTTCCGTCCCACTATAGGTGACTCTGTTGGTTGGTGAGGAAAGATTGTGGCATAGGTGTGTTAACCAAGGAAGGGTGCACCGGAGTCCCCATCGCTACCACGGCCGTAGACATTGGATTGAGAAACATGCCACCACCTGTTACGGGAACGCCACCCGCCAACTGCATCGGTTGTTGGTAAAAAGTAGTTCCCATGAAGACGGGGCCATTTATGGGAGATGGCTGAACCAGCTGATAGGTCGGGGCGCTTGACACGCACTTCAAACTGAGAAACGGTCCGGCGCCGCTATTCGGAGTTGGACCGTAGTTGACAAACTGCAAATATGGATGAAAACATGTGGAATAAATTTTGTAGCTGTCAGGGGACCTGATTCGGCTGCAATAATCATGGTGCGCGACACACGAAAGGACCGTAGTTGGTGGACAATAAAATATGATCGACGGAAGCAGATAGGTTACAGAAAATCACACCACTGCGAAAATTAGGCGGCGAACTAACAAGCAGTCTCATCAATGTGTATGTGTGCGACATTCGTTAACGTCGTTAATGGATGGCAAACAACGTGATTAGGAGGTAAGAACGGTTAGCTTCAACGGTGTCAGGGCCGTGTGTAAATGTGAAGCACCCTTTGCCAAAACCAGGATGCAAAAGTGAGTGACATCAGATATCACTGTAGCGTACAAATTGCACAAATGGACGAAGCGAGAGTGCCACCTGATTGGAGTTAGAAGGACCACCTACTCATCCGTAGTGTATTGCGGTAACGGTTCATACAGTGCTGAGTGAAGCGTATAAAAAGAGATGAGTCAAACTTACTCAGGGTTTCGACGGAGTCCTGATAAGTTGCAGTACGATGGGGCCTCGCTATCGCAACAAATGCATGATTTAAAGGACAATATTAGGTCACGCCCACAAACATGACAGTGCATCATGAAATAATCAAATACGAGGTGAAAATGAGTTCGATTGCGAAGGCGCGCCTGTTTCAGCAGTCCGAGAAGCAGAAGCAGTCTTGAGTCGACGAGGATGACTAATTTGGTAGCTTCAGCCGCACAGAGCTATTGTGCAAGATAGTCCCTTCGGGGAATGAGAACATTTGCAAAAACAGTTGCCGGTATGCAAATAAACCCTATCTAGTTCACGCGATTTGGTAAATTGGCGTAACCACTCAACCATCCACCAAGTCAATACATCGGCAAAGCGTTTAAACGATGGTCTGAGGTAAGGGTTATACCTCAGTTCATTGAGATGCCGGCGTCTCTTTCCGTAGAAATGCAAATGAGCAGCGCAAAAGCAGGGTTTATGTCTGTCAGGCCGACAGAATCCAACAAGGGTTGAAGCACAGGGTGTGTGATGTGTTATTATTATTATTATTCAGGTTGACCACATCTTTTAATCACAATCAAACAGGAGTTAATCGCAATCCAGTTAAACGTCCCGTAGACTGTACGGGATCAGCAGAGTAAAGCTACAGTATGCTATTGATGGGGTGCAACGAAGCTGAGTGGGCAAGCTTAAAACTCGACCAGTATCACAAGGACAACGGAAGGCTTTATACTGACAACCAGAAATCATATACGTACTCGCTCAGCTTTCGGTACAGCGGTTAACCAATCATTGGTTGCGTGTGATACTTTCATCAAAAGTGCTGGAGAGCGGTTTTCCCCTATGGGTCCTCTAAGGTGATGGGATCTTTAGGGCGTGTCAAGTGTATGCTGATGGTGAAGTTTTATAGTATTCTAACAAACGCAGTCTCCGAAATTGATGACACTATATGCAGACATTTAATGCGGCCTTAAGTTCACCTTCCTGAAGGTGATCCATGTGACTGCGTACATAAAACCTGTTATTGGGATTGAGATTCCGTCTATATAGAGAAACGAGCAAATAACTGGAGGTGCGCGTTGTAGAACGCAAATGGCAGACACGTTTTTATCCCCCAAAATCCCTCACAATTCCAGAAACTTGAGGATGAATCAACTAATGCTCTGTGAGCGCTGATCTAAAGCCAATTGCCACATTCAGACAGGCTGAGCTGATTCACGCATAGCCCTTCGGTGCCAATCGAAATGACAGACAAGTCCGTTTGTGTTGTGTGGCGAGGGCTTACAAGCGCAAACCACTAGCGTGACTGTCGACCTCATGTCGACCCACGCATATGTGACTGTCAGCCCGACCAACAGAACAGCCCCATGACACCACACAGCGACACATGAAATCACCTAGGGCGATCGAAACGCTGGGTTACTAGAAAAGACTGCATTCGAGGACGTTTTTACGGTAATAATTAACACCAATGAAGCACAGGCTTGTGATTTCCCCAGTCAAGTGTCATCGTGGGTAAAGTTTGCTCACGCACGCATCATTAAAAAATCGGCGTTCACTGATACCGTGGATGTGTGGAACCCGACTTTTTCGGATAAGTTTAAGAGCCTGTTTTTGGCTGACAGTTCTGAACATTCATGTATTGCAACGGAGAATATTCAGTTATTCTTTACTATTATTATGATTATTATTATTATTGGTAGTAGTAGTAGTAGAATTTTGTTGTGTTGGCCAACCACAACTTGTCAAAACCATTATCCTCCCCGCTTACTGGATGATCATAGCCCAGTGGGCTATAATAGCATTCAACCTTTCGGTTGAATGCTATCCGGTGCTTGCATGGGGATTCACAGGGATTCTGTGAGATGAATCAAAAACCCACTAATTCAACCGAACAAGTCAAGTGCTTGACGTGCGTTTCGGACCCTTTCTTAACCTCGAGTTGTTTCGTGATTGTCTTACGTCCTTCCAATTGATAGTTCATCGAGAAAATCAAGCATCAACAGGCTGTCCACGGGGTGGAAACACGAGCAAACTGAGGGAAAATAAACGCAAGTTCATGGATACCTAACCAGAAGCCGTTCTACTGTGCTTTTGTATAGGTAGAAGAGAGCAATCATCTAGAAGTTCAGAGTTCATATGTGAAGAGATCGTCAGCAGAGGGTACTTTCAAACCAGACATTGCGTTACTCAACAGAAGGCTGTAAACTGGATCAACGAGAGGCATATAGTTAGTTTTCCATGGCGTTTCAGTGAGATTCACAGTGGAGTACAAGCCCACATTTCCCCCAAGAATAGTGATTATTTCTTTAATTCAAAGACCACCATGAAAACAACAATGTACGAGGCAAGCCTAGTTTGCCTTGCAACCCGATACCAAACACCATAGGACTGAACTTTCCCTGAACAAATATGAAACAAGACTGATTCGTCTGTCTATCACGGAACCTGCATCCATTGGCTTGACAAAGACAGTAGTGAATAATGTAAGATAGAGAAAGTACGGAAAACACTTCAAAACAGAGGGGGAAAAAAGGGAAACCAGCTAATGGTTAAAAAACAGTGGATACAACGCCATCGTTGATTGCGTGATATTGCCACGTCGGTGAGTATTTCCAAAGAATGATGTGGTGGGGTCTGGATGCCCCAACCTCAGTAGACGATATGCACCGGAGCGACGAAGGCTCTGCGTTGTTTTTCATGTTCCCTTTCCGGGTCATGTGTTGCTCACTTTTTGATATCTTCCAACCATAACCTGCGTCAGCAGACAAAGTAAGGAAAGGCAATCGACTGCCTGACAGATTCAGCACATGACCGAGCCAGCTGAATCCACTAGTCGATTGGATAATCAATTGGTGTGTTGGCAAAAACAATTCGTTGCACTTCAACATTGCTGATTCGATGTTGCCATAATAAACAAAAAGTACGGGAGCGGAGTATCCGTGTTGAACACTGATGATGTGCAGTCAATGATGATGACGATGACATGTACAGTGCTTTGAAGGCACTGATGGGTAAAGATAAGCGATCTTCTATTGTCTTCAACGCACGGCGGCTTCACAGGCGCAAAGAAAAACTGGAAGCACTGCGTTTCGCCAACAACCAAATGTCATGTCTAAGCTGAAGGAAAATATGGTGAGTATTGGCAATTCCGAAATTCACTTCATCGGCAGTTCTGTCACCCGGTGTGACAGCTACTCAGACAAATTTATTCACTACCTCTAGTGGTTCCGACTTTATGACCAGCTTCGCTGGTCCACTCGTCCAGTCTTGTAGTAGCAACTTGAGCTTTAAGGTGCAAAGTATCGGCAGATTCTCTAAGGCGTCCTCAGGTTTCTGTTCACTTATATCTGAGAAGCGTTGTTGGTATCTCTAACGTCGACGAATTCGTAACAAGCTTTTAGTCGTTTGGCTGCGCGGCAGATACCTAGGTCATGGGATGTTTCCAGAATCATCAACTGCGGTGGCTCGGTCACCTGTTACACAGGGGAAATTATCGTCTGCCAAAACGAATCTTCTTCTCCGTGTCTTCTTCAGAGTGACAAACTGCGAGATGGACAATGTCTCGCCTACCAGACGGGTGTGCAAAATATTATGGGGAGTACGTTTAAATGGTAAGGTCCGCCTTCTAGGATGAAAGGCCCGTGACCCTCCGGGCACTTAAATGGAAACATCGTAAGAAACCGATACCACTGGTGTTCACACCGTCAGTGTCCATCTTGACTGTCCGAGGTGTAGGCACCTCAGAATGCGTGGAAAGGCAGAAGCACCAGGTCATTTCTCCGTTTACCCTTGTTGTTTCACTTTAGAGCCTTGAACGACAGTGAATTACCAGTATCAACGCTGACGATATTGTCTTTGATGATGACATAGGGGAACATATTTCGAAATATTTAATCCAAAAGTTATCAGGACAATGACCTTCAGTTTCGAGGTTAAGTCAAGATTCTGGCGAAATATCTGTCGGACGAACGCTATCAGACTGACCCAGTGAGCTTCTGTAGTATCGTGTTGTGCAACACACATCCCAAGGTTCCAAAGATGAGGGACTCTGGTGGCAGGAGCGAACTAGTCCGACCATGCGCACAAAAACTTTCGAAGTAGACGATTTAGTTACCCTGGCATTGATCAGTGGACCCGTAGAGCTCACACAGTAAGTATTTATCATACACTGCTCCCAATCTTTGTTGTGCCTGACCCGCGTGCTTCACGTACACGACAGGATGTTCATCAGTTCAACCAATCACCTTTAGATGTTGCTGCCTAATTGGTGAACGCAACTGTTTCAACCGCATATCAACTCGAATCCCATTTTACAAGCGGAATCTACAGCTCACCTCCATCGGCTCCCTCTGCGATTCGTTCAACGGGTAGATTTTTTTATTTGGGTTTATGTTTTAAATCAGCAGCAAATCAAACACAAATGCATGATGAACAGCAGGAAAAAAGTAACTCCTTAGTCTTTTGAACCACCACAGTATGATAGGTATAGCCATCCAGTTCAATCTTAGAGGGGTTGCGAAACACACCAAGAGTTCGAGTAATCTTTTCGGCAATTCGATTAGTACAGCTTAGTTTTGTTGCATATTACTTTACAAATGAAGTTGATGCTAACAGCAGACTCAATTGATTGTCCCACTGATTGACTCATTCGATTGTCCCTCAATCGAATGTGTCGCAGTTCCTTATGTTTTAGCTGGAACAATGTCCGAGAAATCGCAGTTTATTACTTGACACACCATTATTCATAAGTAGATGGGAAATCGGACAGTGTTTGTTAACCTCATTATTAGTGTTGTGTTAAGAGATTAGCTTATTTTCTCCCAAAACTTGTGATCCGAAAATGGGGAGTCACAGAGAAGTAGAGTGAGGGAAGTGGGTCTGTGTTCATTATGCAGTGGCTTAACGTTGTCTAGCTGAGCATTGCACGAGGAAATAAGTAATGTATAAGCGGTAGATATAGAGATAGAGTAAGATCAATCTGAGGAAATGGGACTTGGCTCAAGACAATCAGTGTTTCAGTCATCTCTAAGTTTAATCGCACGACGCAACGGTGTGCCCGTAAGAGATATCCTGGAAGAACTATGGGATTATACACAGAATATGAGTGAGCAGTAAATATGAACTCACTTTTGCACCAACAGTGGGTAACACGGTGGCTGCTTGTACACCTGCTGCCGGTGGTGGAGCCCGGATAGGATAAACTGTCGACGGTATGGTGCATCCATTTTGACCGGACAAACCGAGTACTGGAGGCTGTGCAAGTCGAAAGACCTGCCGTTGAGCTGTTGGAACACTGTGATGAATTACTTGGACAGCTGTAGACTGTGTCGCAGGGGATGTGTGAACTAAAGTCGACTGTGAGAGACTTTGCGCCGCTGTTACAATCACATATTGCGTTTGCGCCGGTGCTGATGTTGGTGGATAGCCAGTGACAATTGCCTGTGGAAGACAGGCAGCAGGAACAACAGTAGTCGTTGGAGAGATAGAGGTCGAGGGAAGCACTCGGACAGCCGGATTAGATTGTTGCAGGGTACTAGGCGGTGGGTGGATGGAAGCACTTGTCACAGAATCAAAATTCGTGTCCCCACTATCTTCGGTACCTGAGTAGGTGACAACACAAGCTCGTTTTGTGGAACCGGAAGCCACTGTTTTCTTTGACCATGTGGGATCAGTGGAAGACGGTAGAGCCTTAACAGGCCGTGGTGCAAATTTTGCGTGACTAGGTTTCGAAGAAAGAACTTGTGGTTGGCTTTCTTGCTCCCTTCGCAAATCGGCAGCCGCGGCAATGGCCCCACGAGCTCCGTCCACATCACCAGCAGCGCGTTTGCAGAACGCGAAGTCCATGGACTCACGTAAGGACATTGGACGCGGCGGTGCAGGAGGGTTTTTACATTGCAGGTCATAGATGGGGTTCGAGGGCCGACCTAGTGTTCTAGACCGATCGTGCCGTTTCGTGCGCGAACTCACACCTTCACTATCAACAGAAGCACCACTGTCTGTCGAGTCATCGGTAGAGTAACCACCCAAGCCATCGCCCTCATCATTTATATCGTACTCATCCTCGTCATCAACATAACCTAGCGCATCCATAGGAAGTTCTCCCGGAAGAAATAGCATACGGCGAGCGGCTGCGGCTTCCGCTCTCACACGAGCGGTCTTATGTTGCTTGGACTCTTCGTCGTCAGAATCCGACACGGGCTCGTCTGTTTGATGCAGAGCAGCAAGAGGTACTAACTCTTCCACAAGATCGCTAATAGCATCGAGGCTCGGACCTGGCAAGATAAACAAACAGGAAAGAAATGGAGGATAATGACCTTCGCTCACGTAAACAAGGACCGAGCAAGGACATCGTGCACGGATTCAGATACATTGACAACGGTGCGGCACAAAAATAATCTAAAATGTGCAAGCACCGTGAGCTTTTCGACCACTGATTTATGAAGGTGATATATTACTGACCAAGGTGAACATAAACCGTTAGCGATGTACAATCACTTGCAAATTACTTTGGTATAAAAGGAAAGACTAGACTGAATGAGTTACACAAAGGCCGCCAGATGAATCTCTCCTTCATGATGTTTTCAAGCTATTGGATGTGCTGCACCAGACCGCCTCATTTTCAGCTGGTACGATATTCGAGGTAGCATGATACATGTATAGACGTAACACACGACTCATAAGGTTGCTAAAAATTCTTCGACAACCCAAGATATCGTAAACGGGGGATTCGATTGGGTTCCAAGTGTGTCTCCGGTAAAAAACAAATCGATATGCAAATCTGTCCAATTCGGGTTCAAGTAGAACACATGGTTGACGGAAACTGGGGAATAGCGCCTACCTGATGAGCCCCGCGAAACCGGTAGTGAGCTGTCAAAGAGTTTTTAGCAACCTTATGACAAGTGTTTTACATCTATAAGTGTTCACTTTCCGCGTTTGCCATGTGATTCAGCCACACAATCTGCTCTATCTTCTGGCACACAAACTCGTCAGGAGATGATGTAAAGTGATGACCCTCCGGCCATTTATCACAACTCACTTGTTCCTCGGTTAGACCTTCTTCTGATAGGATTGTGCTTGCCATGCAAACTGAATGCGTACCAAGGCTGCTTTGAAATAGAGGTGCGTCTCAGTTCAGGCTTTCGACAATGAGACCTGTAACCAGAGTGCACTGCCCCATCAAGTAAAATAATCTTGATCAAATCCTTGGCTGAACACACCGCTTGTAAGGTTGCTGAAAAGCACTTCCACAGGCTACCACCGGTTCCACTGTTTGCACGGTTCATCATGAAATAGTAGTCTCCGATTTATGATCAACCTCATATGCTAATTGGTCATATTTTGATGCACTGCAGTGCGATAATTTGGCCCGTGTGAAATAAGATATCTCTACTGGAAAATTGCTGTCGAAGGAACTGTAAGATACGTCCTAAGGTTGGTTCAACGGCCCCTGTGACAATACTAGTCTCCAGATCAAAGGTTTCTGATGTATGACACATACGTAAGAACTAATCGGTCCGAATGATCAGGTTGCCAATACCCTGAAAACACCTCGCTTGGAAGCCAGTGTATCTCTTGTGATACAAAGAAATCAGGGCTAAGCAATTTTGCACTCTCTTTGGAAGCACACTTGTCTCGTGGAGAAAGAACGGCCTCGCAGAAAGATACATCAAGAGAATATTTTCGTCAGGAATCGGACAGTGCCGGGGCATTTTATGTCTCTCCTTCATTTACGGAAACAGATAACCCTTCGTGAAGCTACGACCCTTGTTGCAACATAAATAATGTAACCGTGATCGTGGCCGTGAATAACTAAAGTCAGACGAGCGCCGCAAAAACTCTCACCACCCACCTACGCTTCCAGTGGGCACTTTAAAATGAATCTGGATCGAACCATGTTCTTTCAAATGTATGAGCCAATAAGTTAATGTAGATCGATCGATTCGTTTGTCAAAGGCTGTCTGAACCAATCAGACGTTTGAGTAGATCAATCGACGTGTCCTTGCACTTCTTCATATAAGCAATGCGCACTATTAGATTAGCCGAGGTCCAGCCACTGATTCTGTTGATCGGAGTAGTAAGAGAGTTGGCTACACTCAGCGTCAGGTCGTTAAACGCGTAACGATGGCAGTAGCATGGATGAATGCTTTCTGAATAGCGAGCTGAAGTCTGATCTCGTGTATACATGCCAATATTTACGTATTGTATGTGCAAAAATAGATACTATCAGACAGGTATAAATAAACCCGGCAGTGGACCTGCAAAAAAATGACCGATCCGACTGATCGTTGAAGGAAAATCTGATAAATATTCCATTACCTTACTGAGCACTTTGAGAGCACAGCCGAGTTCGGGCATGTAGATGAAACACTCTCCCCGTAATTTTGAGCCAAGATAAAAGCAGCTCTAACTACTGGATTACGGTATACAGCGTTTTACTCTTACACCAAACGGCTAGCCCGTTGGATTTACAAAAACATTTTCTGTTGGTCATAACCAGGTCTACGGATAATAAATAAACACTTGTAAGTAATTTACCTCCATGTTGTAATATGATACAAAACCAAGTGAGTACAACTCCCTGTTGCCATTACTCTGCGTTCCAGTGAGCGCAACAAACGAGGTCAGTCTATTGGTTAGCATAGCTTACCCATGATGACGACTCGTCCCGTCGAGAAGACTTTCAACAAAGTACTGGAATTAAGATCCGTTTTGAAGGTCAGCCCAGGAGCCAATTCAGGTTCATAGCTGTAGCAGAGGTGAATAAACCGTGAGCTCAAAGGAATACATATTCAATAGAGAACGAGTATCATAAACACCAAGAACCACTTCGTTCCATTGCATGACTAGTGCAAGCAGCAATTGAACGGTGCTTACCACATCTGCATAGGCTTCTCTTTGACCAGTTCCTCTAAGCGCACCCGAAAGGGCAAATGACAGGTGGCCATTATATTAACCACTCTGTATTTGCTGAATCGACAAGGGAAACCGCATTTGGCGATTCGTCTTGCAATGCGTCTGGCTCCCGTCTTCGCCTTTGCTAGCCTGTAACAGATGGACAGCGAACGATTATCAGCTCAGAACTGCCTACTGCATCTACCCCTGATGAGTACAAGAACGGTTGAGGACCAAAGGAAAAGGAGCAAAATATGGCGTCATAAAAAGGTCTCCAATGGGTACATATGGGGGCGAAATAAGGAACTGACAAAATTAGCAGTGACCTAGTTGTACTACACTAAGTAATATAGATTGTAAACCAACTCGGTATCGGATTATTCCTGATATATGTGGATGTCGGTAGGAAATCGAGCTACGGTTTTAAAGAAAATCCTAAATAACATGAAAGATCATCCGCGCAATTAATTGATGTCTAAAGTTAAGAAAGGTCAGCGAGTAAGCACCCTGATCACATGCGGCTTCGTTTCTAATCAGTCAACGACATCCCGGGTGGGCGAGATTAAGGAAGATCAGGTGAGCCAGTCTAAGCAGTTTCTACTGACCGCACAGCAACGACGGTTTGTCGACGTGATAAGAGTGTAACCAGGCTGATGAAACCAACAATATATTGAACTGGAGCTCACTTACCAATCACATGGGAGCCAACAATAATATAAAATCAATGTAACCTAGTCTCCGACGCAGTTAGGTTCGGTGTTCAATGCATATTTCTGCAAGCATAGACCACTAGAAGCAGTATTGGATCGGCATCGTAGTAGCTTCACCGTAGACCTACGGGATTTAGCCACTTCGATCTACGACACTCAACAAACCGTTTATCATACAGAAACACAGCCAGAGTAGGTAGAGAGAGAGAGCCACAATGTGTGGACTCCGTATTTAAGCTAACCGAAGAACTTTTGGTCAAAGAAATCGGCTTTTTTTGGGGGGTCCATTAATGTGAACGTGAACAACTAAATGTGAAAGCTGATGCAACTTCCTCTTGACTTTCTGCATGGCGAGCTGAATCAGCCGTCGAATCAATGTGGTAAGGAAGTTACCTAGTCAAAAGGAATAAAGAGTAAAACACAGAAACATGGTTTCTAGTGTAGCGTTGACCATAGAGAGACCTTCGACGGACAATTTTGGCAACACGGATTTCTCCAGTACAACCCTTCCCTTCGAAAAAACGACCTCCCAGAATCACATACTGTACACTTTCTGGTTCCATAAATCGATTATTCATTGTCTTGTGACATAAGCAGGTTGTTCGCGACATAACTTTATGTGGATTGATCGACAATTCGACATTTATACCACGTCCCATAGTTACAATGTAAGTTGACGGAACTGAAGCTAACAGATAGGATGAGCGGACTCAGGAAAAGTTAATGACCTTCAAGCTCCCACCAACTAAGGTTGCTCTACGGTGATATGAAGATACATCATCATAGGACGACTCTTCTTCGCAGTCCCTTTTCGAATCCTGCACGACAGTGTAAGGAGGCAGTTTGTAATAACAGTCCCTGTAGTCTGGTAAATTGATCGGTTAAATCGCGCAACGGCTATTAGGAATACTGTCAGGTACATCCTGGTAGGAGAGGATGCTTAATTCAGTTCGTCGTAAACTGAATGTCGTATCTAAATAAATTACAACAAAGGACCTCACTACCACACCTTGGTGAAGTGGAACACACTCTAAACGATCGCGTTCTAATGTTCGTATCTGACGAACCTGAATTAGCCGATAATCCAGTTCCTAGTGACATAGTGGCTAAAGAGTTATCTGATGTTGCTGGAGCCCAAGGAGATCGAGATTTTCCGGTCGCTAGGATAAACAGTCGAGTGGATTTGGACCAATTGACGTCTTAATGAACGCTTTCAAAAGAAGCGACGGGCGTACACGTAAAGTCGGGATAAAACCGTCGGGAGGAGGGGTGAGAGTGCAAGTACCTCAGATCGCCAGGAGGGAGTAGAACACGATGGGGGGCTCGACATTGAGGAGGACACTCTAATTTATGACACGCCACCATGGTAGAATACTGTACCAACCATGACGTGTCTTCTCCAGGATGCGTGGTGCGTGTGGCCATGTTAGTTTCCAGTTTCTCTGATATTATGCATCTAACAGATGCCCATTGAGCCTAACCAGGCCCATGTTGTGTGAACATACTGAACAATAGACTGGTGAAGGCAGTCAAAAAGTCAGGAAATCGGAATGTGCACTTTCGAAGCCAATCAGCACTTAGGGGAGCTAGGTTAATGCATTGAGTTCTGTCACAAGAAACGATAGTTTCACTTCTACACAGTCTGGTAGTAGCGTGTCAGAACAATCCTAATGCGTTGAAAATAGGAATTGCAAGCTTCGAAAACTAAGAAATGCAACAATTTACTGAAGCTGAAACCCTTAGACCACTTTTAAAGACATGCCTGCGTATCAAACGACCTCCCGCCACCACTGGTCCAGTAGCGATGGGTAAATCAACGGTTTGCAAATGCACCATGGGATGTCCCAGATTTGCAGCTGAAGAAATATTATCGAATAATGCTGTTACAAGTGGTACATTGACGAACATAACAGCAATAGCACGTCTAACCAACACGCTGAACGCGTTGTGAGACTTACGAATTTGCGCCAGTACACCAAATCTTCCCACTAGACCATATGGTTGCAACCGTGTACGGGGAGCGTAACCGCATGATGACGTGCTGAAAGAGAGGAACAGGACAAAGTTAATGGAGAGGTAAGCTTTCATCCTTACTCGTTGGGACTCACAAAACCAAACTGAGCTGTCCCGGATCCCCTGAAGGTTGCTGACCCTAAAAACTACTTGGAGGATATGATCCACAGGTTGAAAGATTCCAGAAAAAAGCTGGATTAGCTACCACAGTTGTTCTAATAAACAGGACTCCAAATCACAAAGTTAAAAGCTTCTTAGTGAATTTAATCTGTAAGGAACGAAAGAACACTCAACTAAAAATAACTTCTGCGAACTGTGCACACCCAACCTATACACATATGATTGTGGTCCGACAAGAGCACAAACATGATCAATATAGGGTAGGTTTCTTTCAGTAAGCACCACTGAGCCCAAAGGACATTGTATCTGACCTAGGTTTAGCGAGTTGCAGCAGCTCATGTTGGGTAGGTGAGTTGCACTCAGAACTGGGCTACAGAGCTGATCATAGCTGTGATAGTTTCGCCGAAAGACCACACTGCCTAACTTCGGAACGACGTGCTGATGATACCACAATGAGTGGTGGTGATACTTTTAAATTTCACGGTTCAGCTCGGTGAACAAACCAAGGACGAATCATACAACCTAGGACCAATATTCTAAACAATAACCTATCAACCACTCAAATCTCAGCAGCTGGCTAAAGCCTGAGATACTGGAAAAGATACACCTCAATGGTAGGCAAGTAAGAACACTAGAAAAGTATTCAGTAGCCATTAGTGATTGAAAAACAACTGACAGACTTTGGGTGCTATAACTTGCGTCAGTTTTAAAAAAAACGCAGGTCAGGGAAAAGTGAAATAAATCCGCTCACATTCTGCAAAGCCTTGTATTCCACATCCACGCTGGATCGTGCAATTTCCTTCAGTCGCAAGTGACATCGCATACTGGCCATCACCACCACGTTGGTAATGGACAATGTCAATGATGGAGAGTCACCGTTAACTGACTCGTGGTCGGAATTCGCTTCAAAATTTTCAGGCTGAGCGCTTTTCGAGTCATCAGGTTCAGTATCCGAGGAATTTAAAAAATCAAGAAAATCGGCTGAATCAGACAGTCCCGTCGGCGCTTCATCTTCTGCACCCTTTGCTTCATTATCCACGGACATGCTGAAATGAACCAAAAAGGACGTATAAGCGAGCAGAAGTTTTGAAGACCCTAAAAAGTACTTTAAACATATACGCGAAGGTAGTAGCTTACCTTCCCTTATCATCATCATCACCATCATTAAAGACACCAACATCAGTGTTGGCAGTGATGCCGTACAACCATAAGGTTCGTCTAATTACACTTAAAGCCAAAGAGTGAAAAGAGGAGAAAAAGTGTGGTTGAGGGAGGGGACCTGGTTCTGGCCTATGTCAAGCATTCTGAGGCATTCAGACAATCTAAAAGGAAACTGACAGCAAGAACACTAATGAAATCGATTAGCCGCCATTTCTTGAAACGTCTCCAGCCAAACACAGGTGGGGTCACGGGGCCCCATCCTGGAAATCTTACAACACCGACATCCAAACTCTTCGTTATCTCTTTCACGCCCTTCTGCCAAGTCATGCATTGTCCACCTCGCGGCTTGCGCCATTCAGGAGGCACGGAGAAAAACACTTGTCTCGGTAGACGGCGTTCTGGCACGCGCAGCACAAGACCGAGCTGTCATAGTTGCCTAGGGTGGATGTTTTCCCCGGTTGAGGTGCCTGCCGGACAATAGGGCTTGTACTCCGCTTGGGTCTTCAAAGATGAGGGCAAGGTCATCTGCGTACTCCAGATCCACAATCCTCTCACAGGCAACAATTTGAACGCCGGCGTTTTGAATACCCTACAGCGTTCCCTGGAGAGTGTGAACATCCTTGTCGGACATAACCTTTTGCAGGGATGCTTTCGGAGAGCTCAACACACATTCTCACCCGCCCCAAATTATGTTTACAAACTTCTGGGGCATACCCTGTTAAGCAAGTGTGGTTAACAGCACTGACCGATCGACAGAATCGAAGACACACTTGAAGTCAAGAAGTACCAAGATTGTGGGTCGTCTGTACATGTGGCTTTGCTCTAGCACCTGACGGAGTGTGAAGAGTGGTCAACGCAGCCTCTACCCGGTCGAAATCCCGCTTGATTCTCAAGGTTTCGCGTGCCACCGTAAGATGTCGAGGAATAAATGACGCCGGAGGCCTTGTCACAACAGGCGTCAAACTAACACACCTGTGGTTAATACATTCACCGTGAGTACCATTTTTCCTAATGGGCACTTCTATCGATTCAACCCTCTTTTCTGGGACGGCCTCTTTATCCCAGATAGCTCCGAATAGGCTAGACAGCCACAGGCTGAGAAGACCATCGCCATCTTTGAAAGGAGAGGGTGAAAGGCTATCAAGATCAACAGCACGATTACGCTAGAGTAGGGAAATACATTCGGACACCTCTGAGGCTGAAGGCGGTTCTATATTCACCTTTCTACTGAAAACCAGGATTCTGGATTGGAGGTAGCATGTGGCCAGCTGGATTGCTGCTCGAAATACTGTGCCCAGCGGTCCAAACGTGCTGCTTTGCTGAATATCGGGGAGCCATTTTGGTCCCTGATTATTTCGCTGACAGTTGAATGAATCAAGTGGAACAGCCTACGCACGTTTCCAGCATTTTTTGCATCTTCCATTTCTTCGACCTGTCGGGTCCACCAAGCTTCTCGGTCGGCATGGATACTCAATTTCACCTGGCGTCGGATGATGCGCCGCGTGGAGTTGTGGTGGCGGCCAGGAGGAATCTGTCGCCGGGTCTCCAGCAAAGACCCGGTCCTATCGGGGATCCAATGCTTGGATGATGTTAGCTGGGTTGTACCGCGAACAGACATTCCGGCTTTGAGTAGCGCTTGGGATATTTCTCCCCAGTGGTCGTTTATACCCCACACAATGCCGTCCCGCAGGCATTCGAGGAGCTGGTTCTGATAGTTTCGTTTGACTTCTGGGCCCACTAAATTCTCAGTGGCTAAGCGAGTTGTGCGCGATTTGCGTACACCTAAAAAGCACAATGAAAAGCAACAGCGTACAAGTGCATGGTCAGAGTCCACGCCGGTTCCAGAGGAAGCGACAGTCCGTGGTCGACCCTCGCCATCGATACCTAATGGCGATCTGGTCTACTTGAATTCGGGGCTGGTTTGTTGGCGGGCACCACTTTGTCAGGCGATTTCCGCTGTTCCAGAAATTCGTATTGTAAAGGAACAGTTTGTGTTTGACCTACCTCCCCCTCAATAAAACAAGGACTACCATGTAGTCAGCCTTTCACAGAAGACCCCAATTCGAAGAGAGATCGCATTAAATTGCATTTCATATGTTCTCTCAAGCGCCACCGATCTCCCAGTCCGGACGACCTTCCACCTGCACTGTTCAAAGACGGGGGTGAAGTCCTCAGTCAGCGCCTGTCCGACCCGTTTGCTTGCATTTGGGAAAAGGAGTCTGTCCCAGACAACTGGGGAGAATCGGTGATAGTGCCCATTTTCAAAAAAGGGGCGCGTAGTGAGTGTGGTAACCACAGGGGGATCAGCTTGACCCCGGTTGTAACGAGACTGTTGGCGTCAATTGTGCTTCGTCGCCTTACGGTGGCTCGTGAGATGCTGACTCGAGAGCAGCAAGCGGGATTCCGGCCTGGTAGGGCTTGTGTTGACCAAATCTTCACACTGCGTCAGGTGCTAGAACAACGCCATACGTATAAGCGACCCACAATTCTAGTATTCCTGGATTTCCGAGGCGCATTCGACCCGGTTGATCGGTCTGTTCTTCTTGAAAC